GCTTATGCGGCGCATGCTAGCGTCGATCACATGTATAATCTAAACTATCGTACAACACGATCAATACTAATACTAATCATTGATAGTCTGTACCTTTAATTCGTAGTCATGTACATATGTATATGTAACCGTTTATATCTTTTACCTTGCGACTAGCAGCGTAATGGTAATTTAGGCTAAATTTTATGATTACTAATCAGTTCTAGATCTATCAATTCTAAATAATTTTATATAGAAGAAGGGGATTGCTCTATATTCCCGAAAATAATATTGCTGCCGTTTCAGGAACACTATCAAGAGACCTATGCCGAAACGTCGTCGGGTGCTAACGGAATAGAAAATAGACTATCCAAGAAAACCAAGACAACTACGCCCAAAAGCCAACTGCTGTATCGCTCTTCAGAAAATAAAAAATAAAAATGGCGTCGGGTCCACGTCAAAGCAGCCCATCGGTTAAAGGTAAGTTCACAAACTACTCGTTAGAGAGCACTGTTGTTTTATAGCGTAGCTTAAGCCTAGGATGCGTAAATTCGATAAAAATATGCGTAAAAAGCACATAAAATCAAAAAATGTTCCAAAAACTTTGTGAGTTTGGTCGAAAATGTATGACAAAAATGATGAAAAAACAATTTTCTTTAATAATTTTTGGCGTAAAATGAAAAACTACTAAAAATACTCTGGAAATGCAATGCGGATTATAAACAGATAGGCATAGGCGCCGCTAAGAGTCCGGTACTTTACAGCTTTTTTTGAATCTTACTGTTTTAACGTTCCAAACCGGTCAAACGCTTTTTCGATAGCTTAAATTTCCAGGTTAGTCATTCTGCGACGACAAGGAGAAACCGAAGATCCTGTCATTCCGAACCGACGCCACAGAATCCAAACTATATGGAAGTAGCACTCAAGCACTGAATTATTAGCATAACAATTACAAGATAAAAGTGAGATTTCTGACCTGGTTATTATGAAATTTTAAGAAAACCATCTGAAATCTGGAGCTGTAACGCGTGCCCTACCTAAATTAAAAAAAATTAAGAAAAAATTGTAGATTTTTAAGCCCAGGCATCGGTTCGTTGAAGAAGTAAAAAGCTGGTGAGACCTCTACACTAGGCTTGACCCAATGATCGAGGAGGAATTGCTATTCAAAGGCAAAATGCGAGTAAACCTCGACCTGATGTGAAACAATAAAATCATTATCATTAACATTTCGTTTTTTTGTTATTAATACAGCAAGTGAAAGACAGGGAGAGAAAGAGAAAGAGAGAGAGAGAAAGACATAAAGAGACAGAGAGACAGTTCACGCTTTTTTTGAGTCTCGGGTCGGCATAAAAATAATAGTCCTGTCAAATTTCAGGCGGACCTCCTGATAAGCGCCGGAAAAGCGACCCTTCATACCCCCAATTTCACACAGCTGGTTTGGTATTTTCGATTTTTTTTGATCGATTGACTTTTTCTAACGCTAAATGCACCTATTAAATTTACCTGAATATCATTTTCTCTATTTCAGGTTGCGGTCTCACCTTGCGTGATTTTACCGACATGACGAGTTCTTGAAAACCCGCTTTTTTTGGGTGGTTTCAGCCTGCTTCATAATTTGAATTTATTTACAAAATGCTTAAATAGAATTTTAATCTCGGAGCTAGCAAGTAGGTATTCCGAGACGCTTGGACAAGGGCACGGCCAGTGGGTTCTGAAGCTTCACATATTTTAGAGGATAAGCTGGAAGCGCTGTCGCTTAACTTCGGCTTCCCGGACCATGCTTTGCATAATTGTGGAGAAAAAGAAATTGGGGCTGCGAGAGTTGTGACGATTGAAAAATGGACTGCTTGACAAGCCATTTTGAGGCCTAGCTGGACTCTACTACTTGCTAATCTATCGGACAAGGGTATGAAACGTACGAAATGATAGTAAAGGGGTATATATTTTTGTGCCAATGACTCAAAAACGCCACAACAATTTTTAACGGGACTTTAACGGAACCGAAAACACATTCAAATTATCAATTTAGGCCGGAAGCCTGTCCGAATTGCTGCAAGGAAGTTTTCGAAAATGCACCCGTTCCCAAAAGCATCGGGGTCCATAAAATGGATCCGCTCATGGCTGATCTGTGATTTGCATGGGCTCCTGGGACTCGCGAAAGACGGAGTTGGGCTTCACTCAAGGGTTTGATAAAAAGAAAGAACATTACAGGTTGGGCGTGCCGAAACGGAGATTGGGGTTGCGGTTCATGCAAGGATTTAGAAAAATAAGGAGATTGTGGGTTTTTACGAACTTTTACCAAAAACGTTCTTTGCAGATATTGGTTTTTCGCGGAACAACTGATGACTATCACAATCACATCGATGCCAAGACGTGCTTCGGCAAATTTTCCGCATCATGGCGTTATGAGAGTTACAGGGATCTGTTTCAAAGTGAGCTTCATTTTTGATACAACTGGTCTTTGCAAACTATAGGGTGTCCCAAAAAACAATCCATACCTAGCGGTCCCAAGCAAGCTCGGATTGGGAAGGTTTATATACCATTCGACAGCCCCTAAAAAGCAAGAAAACAGGCGGATCTAGTTTTTTTAAATTATTTAGCATTTTTGGTATTAAGCGTTTAGCTAAAAAACGCGCATTTTTCAGCGCTGATATTGCAATTAACATGCCGATCTCGCATACAGGGACGTAGCTCGTTATGTGGCCCTCTGCTCCGCAGAACCCGGAAAGAATATTCCCTTCCTTTTTTTTTTATTTTTCCCAAAAAAAAAATTTCTGCTTCCGGCCATCACTGACCATAAGCATCAGCTTAAGTTTGTCGTGTAAAAAGCGAGAAGAAAGGCGAACAAAGCTTTTAGCGATTGGAATTCGATATACGAGTCATCCTCATACCTTCTCCGGACGATAACGCCAAAAATACCGACAACGGTCAACGCCGTCAACGGGTACCTCGGGCCTATGCCGCCCACACCTTCAAAAAATTTTATCGCTTTCGTTTGGCAGCTTGTCCAAGTACCGCCAATAATATTGCTCTCCGGAGGGCTACGCTATGGTCCAACTTAAGAAATTTATCTTGGGGCCAATATTTAACTTCACCTGGTAGCCATAGCATGATTTTTAAACGTAAATCGTACTCGTACGTACTGAATAAAAGCATAGACGCTGATTTAAACGCAAAACAAGACAAATACAGGGCATTAAAATCGATTTATCATGACAATAATTTATCGAAAGGAAGCAGATAGAATAACGGAGAGTACGGAAATGTAAGGCAATCGAGGAAAAGAGAGAGGACAGAGAGATAGAGAGAAGCGGAGAGAGAGCAGAGAGAGAGAGAGAGTAAGAGAGCGAGAGAGAGTGATAGAGAGAGCATGAGAGAGAGAGTGAGAGAGAAGAGAGAGAGAGTGAGAGAGAGGGAACGAGAGAGAGCAGAGAGAGAAGGAGAGGGAGAGAGTGAGAGAAGAGAGGGAGAGAGAAACGGAGAGAGAGCGAGAGAGAGAGCGCGAGAGAGAAACGGAGAGAGAGACCGACTGAGAAAGAGAGAAAAAGAAAAAATGTAAATTCCTTAAACCCATCCCCTTAACCGCAGGCGCTCAAGCCATAAATATTCTTCTGCTCCACATGACTATAATAAGACCGAGCATTATGATATGTTCCAGTGACAGTCTTCCTTTGCCCAGTCTTTGTCATAATCTCCATCGTGAACGGGATCTGCACCTTGGCCATGTAGATGACCAACTGCACCCTCAGCTTGCCCCCCGGTTTCACTTCCACGCGGTTTTCTGTTTTGAACTCCACTGTGTGGCTTTCTTTCCGGTTTGTCGTCCAAGTTTCGGTGGTCCCCTGCGAGACCTGGAGCTCCAGGCTCTCGTTGGTGGAGAAGAAGGGGGCTGTCACCTGGAGAAATATTGGTACTGGGTTGTTAGCGGGTGGGAGCTAATTAATGTTCGCACGCTTGACCTTTTTCATACAATTTAACCAAAAAATTGTAGGTTTCGAAATTTTATATTCCTCAATTGTTTTTATCTAAAATTTTTCTGTCTATTTGATGTTGACTGTGGGAAGGTAAATGCTTAAAACCGTGTCTGGAAAGAACTACTTACCTCATACGAGATGCCGACTTTCATGAGGATGTTGTTGGTGACCTGATCGCTATATCCAAGCGATTCTTCTTCAGCATTCGTCTCGGCAAAGCTGAACGTCTCGAAGAGGGTCTCGGAGCTTTGTGAATTGTCGAATTCGCGAACGGCGAGGACTTTTGGGGACTGCTTTTGGATTTGGACCTGGTCGAAGTGGAGGGTCATGGAGATGACGCTGAAAAAAGCTCTCTGTTCTCTCTCTCTCACTCTCTCTCTCTTTCTATCACTCTCTTACCTCGCCGGCTCGTTGCTTTTCTCATAAAAGTTCGCCGCCTTCTCGACCAGCTCTCGATTTGCGTGCCCCTGTAGCTCGCGGATGCTACCATATCCCTTGTTGGCCAACTCCACGATACAAGTGTTCCGAGTGTCCTCAATGCTCATTGCATGCAATTCATCCTCTCTTCTCCATCCATTTCTTTTCAAGATGAGGTAGAGTCCGCCGGCAGCCACTAGGGCTGGTGTATCGCGCCCCTTCAAAGGCGTATTTTGGCCATTAATGGAATTAGGAAGAGGTCTTAGCTGGCGCAACCATTTAGCCCCACAGACTACAACCCTAATTTTAAGGCCATTGGCTTACCTGCAAGTATCCGATCGTCTGCGCTAGTCGGTTGTGCAACTCGACGATGATCGTATTTCGTTTGTCTTCATCGGGCATCGAGTTAATTTCAGCAACTGTACGCCATCCGGCAGAAAATAGAAGATCGGCCGCATTTTCCGGGGTTAATGTATCGTGGACCTCGCCGTCGCGGCCGGAAATACCTAGAAGGAATTTATCCTGTTGCTGATGTTCAGGCGAAGCGTCGACCTTACCTAGCGAGAGAGTGGGTATGCAAGAGAGCGAGGAGAGAGTGGTGCGAGATAGAGAGGAATGGAGTTATACACAAGGAGAGAGAAAAGTGCAAAACCGAAGTAGAGATCGATTGAGAGAGAATGGGAAAGGAAGAGAGGTTAAGGAACAAGTATGGATGTGGAGAGAGGACGAGTGTGAGGGACAGGGATGCAGAGAAGGAGACATGGACATCATCTCAATACACTTACTTTTCCACTTCATCACCCTCTGCTTTCAGCTCGTCCGTCTCGTGGAGGCCAACATCTTGCTTTCGGGCTTCCGCTCCAATCAGAAAAACAAGGATTATCAGTATCGATTCCCCAGCCCCCGATGCGCTTGCTCGACGTGGATCCTCTAAGATTTCAGGCTGTGGTTGATATGGGGGCTACCATTGCATTTTCTTGCCGGTTCCTTGCAACACCGGTTGGTTCTTGGGAAGCGTTCTCATGATCATGCCCCAATTAGGGAGAAAAGTGACAACGGAATCTCTTGAGTGACCTTGATGTTTTAAGCGGCTCATCGCCACTCCGATAGATTCCTGTAAATGTTA